CACACACACACACACACCACTCCGTGCTCTCAGCATGAGATCTTAAAATGGGTGCAGAGGCGTGCGCCGTGGTGTGAAGGCCAGTTCTAGCCAAGGCAGACACCTTTGGTCTCCCTGGAGCTCTGAGGACTCCAGAATGAGCACAGAGGTATCAAAAGAGCCAGTTGGAGAAGCACAACATTGCTGTGAACACCTCTGACAGGGTGATTCTTAATGGTAGAAAATGCCTACGAGAGGAACAGCCGCTTAGTCTTTCGCTGAAAGACCATTTACACAGGAAGCTTGAGTGTTCCCTCAGGCATTAAATAAGCAGCGATGCCACACTGCCACAGCAGTGAAGAGACACTGACGTGGCCAATGCTTGTGGTGAAGCCTGATGGACCCAGTGTGTGAGTGTGCATGTGTTTGGGTTCACTAATTGCTCCAGTGCAGGTTGACAGTAGGATTGTCAGGGCCTGTTAGCCAGAGAGCTTTGCCGAGCTACCTGGGAAAGAAGCTAATTGAGCTTGGAGTTCTTGCTCATTATTGGTTCAGAGTGTATCAAACAGACCAAAGGAAGACACTGGATCTGTAGCACACTCAAAGCCTTAGAGAGTGGAAAAGGTGTACCTACTGTAAAGAAGTTACTGCAGTCCATACCGAATGGGTATGGCGTGACAAAGCGCTCATGTTCAGCTACTTCAGGCCACACACACAGCACATGTACCCTGGTATTCCCTGTAGCTACATGGTCATTACTTCACCAAACCCAAACCTTTTCCATTCTCAGTCCCTGGTGGTGGTTTGACCTTCACACTCAACTCAGGAGAGCAGTTACATCCGTTTTATTCTGAGCTGTAAATTCATCTAAATTATGCATTATTAAGTTGGATAAAAGAAGAAGCGACCTGAAGTAAAGATGAAAGGAGAGAAAGCGCAGTGATATTTCATGTCGGAGGAAAGTGTGAGGAAAGGAAAAAGTAAAGAATGGTGCAATCTGCGGGAGGAAAAGGTCAAACAACATGCTCAAAATTCCTGCATGTATACCAATTGCAGAATAAAATTATTTTAAATTCCTGTAGACTGTTGAGTGAAGGTTTGGTAGTATAATACATGTAGAGGCTGGACAATTTCACTGTTAAGTCAAGTAAGGTTACAATTAAGCAAAACCAATTATTATGTATCTGAAATACAATTTTCAAAATGAAATAACATATCTAGTCTTGTGTGTACAGTACTAATGAGCAAATTAATATTCTTCCAAGTTAAATGCCTGGATCCAATATTTAAATGTTCCTCTGATGCAAAACATTAAAGGCGTGAAAGTGAGGGTATGCTTTTTTTTATATACAAGAATCAACAAAACCAGAAAATAAGGTGGCTTTGTAAGTTTTGGCTGTGTCACTTTTGTTTAGTGAAACAGAATCCGTATTACTTTGAGGCAATAACGTTCGACTACCAGCGGTGAGTTGCAGATAAGCAGCATTTGAATCAGTTCGCACAGCAGGAATAATAGTAATGGTAATAGTTTTTTTTTTCCTTTTTTTTTTTTAAATGAATGGCTTTGAATCTCTTATTTTTGCAGAGTGTGCAACCTTTCATGTCAGCAGGAAATGAGCTTCCAAAATATTTAAATTGAAAACGCACTGCAACCGCATCCACGTAGCAAATGCAGGCCACCTGACAATGTTAAAATATGAGTGTGACAAAGGAAACAAAAATTATCAAAGTGTGTTTCTTCCCTTTCAACCTACCTCTCTCTGCGTCAGCTTCTGCTTGTCAATCTGCTTGACCTTGGGGCTGTTGGCCAGCAGGTGGCGTAGTTTCACATAGCTCTTCCACAGCTTCTGGTACCTGCCAACAGTAAACGAGGCGGTGTCAGGCTGACAGGAGTCCGTCTCCACCCCTCACTCTCCTGCTTTGCAACAACACATCAATATTTCATCCGCGGCTCGCCTGATATTAAACATAATTTAACAGTTGCCCGCGGCCGTTATTACATTAGCTGCCTGTGTGCGAGGGGCACTGGACACAGAAGATTCTCTGTGTTTCAGATGTCCACTGTTTGAACTGTGAACAGAGGTTCTCACACACACACACACAC